GATGGAATTCCACATTTGACAAGGGTCGGATCTTTTGAAGTGGACGTGAGTTTAGAAGGTAGTATCATCCTCTGCAGGCAGGTTGATCAGCCAGGAATGATCGGAAAGGTGGGTAGCATTTTGGGTGAGGAAAATGTAAACGTGAGCTTTATGAGTGTCGGAAGGATTGCTCCGAGGAAGCAAGCCGTTATGGCAATTGGAGTCGACGAGGAACCAAGCAAGAAGTCACTGAAGAGGATTGGAGAAATTCCATCCATCGAAGACTTCGTTTACCTTAACTTGTAATGTATGTTTGGTACGTAGTACTGGATGACTCGGCAAAATAACGAACCTTCTTTCTTGGCGAGTTTTATGTTATCTTACTTCCAAACATGCCTATAGTATAATATTCACGTTGTGCACAATTTTGATTTGTGTTCTTGTGTCTTTAGCCAAGGGAAATAAATAATCCGGCTGTGCAATTTGAATTTCGTCTTTATTGATTGAATGTCGACCCATTGTAACGAATTTTGCTATTAAGAGTGTGTTAGCTACTCTTTGATGAAATTGTCTCTCTCTTTTCCCATATGAGAAAATACTTAGGAATATCTGAACTGCTTGTGTTTTTTGTACAGTAGTTCCCTCCTATATATTTGCATTAGTCTCACCTTCAGTAGTACAAATATTCATTGTTGCTGAATGTTGCTTAGTTAAAAGATTGCAAAATTCACCTGACATGCTCAGGATGAACAAGAATCTGTGATTGGATGCAGGAAAAATTTCTGCCAGTGGTAGGGATCTTCAGTCTAATCATGGTAAATTATTGTAGCGATGAAAGAAGATGTAGTCTCACATTAAGACAAACTTCTATAAATTTAACGTGTTCTTAATTGTTTGTTTTTCTTTCTTTAAATTGTTTGCTTTCAATGGGATAGAATAAGATTTTATAATTCTCAACAGAAGACCCTACGAGGAAGCAGAAAGGGAGGAGGATAGATTATTGAACTCTGCTAGGGACAGGTTCTTTAGCAAAGGACGGGAATGAGCATTAGCAAAACATGCACCAACACATACTGATTTTAATGGATAAAATGGATTCCACGTATGAATACGATCAATTCAGCACTAACTGGAATCCATACATACATTTATTTGAAGTACAAAGTTGAAAATCTGTTGGGCATGAAAGCCTTGTCTACAAAATATTATACTTCAATATTCAAGATTCTAGTTATTTCTTCAGAAAGTACATGTACTAGTCTAATTATCAATTAAAGTAAAAACTAATTCAATATTCTTCTTGTTTTTGCCTGGACTTGAAGGACTTTTAGTGACTAGTGAGCAAAATTACATATTTCCTGGGGAAGGTAGTCCACCATAAATCAAATTTCGCACAAATCGACTTGACACTCGCTGCATTTGCTGAGAGCACCCGACTATAACCAGGATGATTTACGAGCCCGCCAGAAACGGAACGTGAGCTAGAGTTGTCGGGAGGGAAACATTGAGATTATGAACTGCAAGGTATGCAGCAACCCCTGCTGCATAACCAGCAAAAGCAAAACCACTTACCTGCAATAGAGGGAATAACATAATTTGCTAAAAGCTAGAAGATAGATTTTGATACAAGCAGATGATGCACAGCAGCCCATACCTTCCGGAAGTACCAAAAAAAGTCGACCTTTTCCATTCCCATATATGCAACTCCAGCAGCAGAGCCAATAACCAACATGGATCCACCTGTACCAGCACAATACGCTACCAATTGCCAGAACTCAGAATCTTGAGGAAACGAAGAGAGATCATACATTCCCATTGTTGCTGCAACCAGTGGGACATTGTCTATAATAGCCGACACGACCCCTATTGAACTAGCAATCAGTTCGACGTTGGGAATATGGGCATCAAGGTAATTAGCTAATTCCCTCAGGATACCAGCTGCCTCCAGGCTACCAAGAAGAATTTTAACATTTTGAGAAACTTGTATAGTGAAAACTATAGAAGCCGGCTTTAGCAATACTGTATTTCAAAAAAATAAGATGCATCCTACAACTAGGAAGAAATATGAAATGCAAACAATCTCATGTCTAAGAGCACTTACAATGAAGTATAGAAAATTGGAGCATGCTAAGCTGATAAGCTTACAAGGTTTAGTTAAAAATAAGCAAGTTTTAAAATAAATGATTTTTTATTGGTTAAAGTTGGTACTAAGTTACATAATTTGACAGTTTGGTAACAGTTACTTCCAAAATAAGTAACTTCTTAGCTTAACTCAGAAAAAGGAAGCAGGAGACATGATATGCACGTGATCAAAAAAGAGCACCAATTTTGATACCACAGAGTGCTTTTGCAGCACTAAAGGGTTCTTCCCCACCCAACAAAAAAAATATAAATTATTAAAAAGTCCTAGGCTTGCCGTTGCAGATATTCATTCCACACAAAACCTGAGCAGTACACCATGACAAAAGTATTGTGAGTACCTGCTGACAGAGAGAAGGATTCCGAGGAAGAAAAGAGCTCCTTGAGTATCAATGCGTGATAAAGCCTGTGGTACTTTCAACCGCTGTCTTTCAGATTCGCCGTAGTGAATGGCATCAGTCAGGATCCACAAAACTCCCAGCCCAAGCAGAATACCCATGTAAGGAGGTAAGCCGGTTAAAGCCTTGAAAACTGGGACAAATACCAAAGCCCCAATTCCTACAGCAAAAACAAGCTTGCCTCGAGGAGCCATTTGTTCAGATGCCAAAACATTTGCAGTATTCTGCCCTTTCCCATTTACTTCACTGAGTCCACAAATGTGTAATTTGATGTATTGTATACATGGTAAGAAATAAAATGTCCTTCTGAGATATGAAGAAATCACAACTGAGCCTTCTGAAGGAAAGAGAAGTACCTTGTAAGGGACATTAAAGCCAAAGGGACAGCGAGAGAAACAGCTGATGGTATCAGTAAGTCCTGCAGAGGACATTAAAGGTCAGGTAAATCCTGTAGTGTTAACAAATTTCAAAAACCCTTCAGTTTAGTTAAAAATACACTATTGATGCTTCACAGCATTCAGTCATCCAATCAGCATGTTCAAAGTTGGTAAAAAAATAAAGCTTGTTTACTCTTTTATCAGTTAGAAGTATCAATGGAATGACCTTCATTGTCTGCAATGTGGATATTTGACCATGTATCCAAAGCATAGTAGTTGTAACATCACCAATAGGAGTCCATGCTCCACCAGCATTTGCTGCTATGACCACAACAGCTCCCAGAAGCCTGGAAAGCACATTCTTAATTTGTTAAACTAGCTTTAAACAAGAAATTTCCACGTCCTGTGTTAAACACTGAAACAAAATAGACGTTTGCACTCATTCAAGGTCGTAAAAACATTTCCACGAAAGAGTTTCCAAACTCCCGTTCCATTATCATAAATAATCCCTCCTTGTCAGACTAATAAGATATGCAGATATGTTCATACCAGAAAATGGTGTTTACATGTTAGGCCCCAATCCAAATATAAGAGAAACAATAAATAGAATAGCAAAAAAATAAAATAATAAAAATAAAATAAAATAAATGTAGCACATACACATTTCTAGTGGTGGGTGCTCAATGTGTGAGCTATAGATTTCATAGAGATTCCATAAGCCTCTCAACATTTCTCACTTTACCTTCCGTCAAGAGAAAAGAACCTAATTTGCTCCGAGCTTCTAATTAAGGAAAAGAAGTTGTTCATAACAAAGTAGGCTAATTACCTGACTACCTTCCTTTGTTCGGCATTTCTCACTTTACCTTCCTTCAAGAGATAAGAACCTAATTTGCTCCTTGCTTCTAATGAAGGAAAAGAAGTTGTTCACAACAACCTGACTACCTTCCTTTAATCAACATTTCTCACTTTACCATCCTTCAAGAGATAAGAACCTAATTTGCTTCTTTTTTCTAATTAAGGGAAAGAAGTTGTTCATAACAAAGTAGGCTGACTACCTTACAGTCTCGAGGAATTAAATAATACATAATGGACACTGAACACAAAACATTCAATTGTTCCCAATTCATGTATGCATAAAAAAAGCGGCTAGTGGTTATGGCCACTTACTTGCGGTATTCAGAAGGCGGTACCAATTTTCTCAATAAGGAGACCATCACAATGGTAGAAGTCAGGTTGTCAAGGACTGAACTGAGGAGAAATGTCACAAAACCTACCTGCACTTATTAGCACTAGTCAGTCAAACACCAGAATGTGGATTTCATATACAGACTATTTCTTAATGACTATCATCAACCTCCACATTCAAATAAACTAAGTTTATTTCTTAATGACTATCATCAGCCTCCACATGCAAATAAGTTTATTTTCCCTCTAGATCATTTACAATTATTTTGTAAAAAGCCCCCAGCTTAATACACGGTGTATGACAAAAATTGATTTCAGGCCATCGTTGACCAATGGTAGTTGCAAACTATCACTAACTATTTTTCCCAGAAAAAGACATACGAGCATATCTTTCTAGGTTTCTGAAATGGCAAAGGAACATACTATCACTAACTATTTTTCCCAGAAAAAGACAAAGTTACAAAGAAATCCAAGTTAAATGGAATTTCAGTCTTCAGATAGGGTAAATCATGTAGCACTAAGTTTACTAGATGACTTTTTTCTCCTCCTTTTCCATTGGGATCTTGGATGACTTTACTTGACTTAGAGACTGATTTCTAACTAGACAATAAGCTATGGCATATTTATATATTTTGAATAAGAATATCATGGTTCAGAACTTGATAAAAACTCAAAGCTTTTAGGGCAAGCATAAACAATCAACTGAAGAACACTAACCACCCAAAGCAGACTTCTCGGCTTGCGAGTAGTGATGTTATCTGTGACCAGCTTGAATCCTTGATGAGCATCAACTATTTCCACAATGGTCATAGCACCAAGCAAGAAAAATACAATTTCACTTACTTCAGCGGATGCATGTGACAACTCTGAAACAGCTACCTCAGTTGAAGGGGCCTGCACAAGGACAATGGACAGCCTAGAAAGATAATTTCCTTTTAAAAAATAAGCAATACCTCAAAGACAATTTCCAGGTGCTTTTAAAAGCTAGATCTTACACAACCGAAAAGCAAGATATCTTAGCAACATTCTGCATGAATTTACTCTATGAAATTAGTTTGTAATCACAGGCTGAAGTCTAATTACAATATGATCCATAAAACCGATATGGTACATGTCTTACCCCAATGCTCCGTATAACCCACAAACTAACAGCCATTAGGAGTCCTACACCACTTTTGTTGAATGCCAGCGACTCTTCAAATATTATGCCAGCATATCCTATTCCAAATAAAATTGCCATGGCAACATCCTGAATCATGGGATTTGGTCAAACCAGCATTTTTTTATTCTTAAAAGGCTGTGGATTCATATGCATACTAGAAAATGTGGAAATAAAAATGAGACAACATGCAAGGCACCTGATTTGCTGCAACCCAAGAATGATTTATGGCCAGTGCCCCAGTTCCAGCTGCTGCAAAAATTGCGAGCGCTTTCAGCAAATCTGTCTTGGGTTGGTTATTTAATTCAAAATCTTCTGAGCTCGCGTCATCAACAGAACATAAAGGATCACATGTTCCGGACGGACTCAAATCCTGATATTATGAATCATGAATAGTTTGGTTAGATTTAATATTCAAAGAGTAAAGAGGAAAATGCTCAAAAACTGAGGATTCTTTAAGCATAGATAGTAACATCTGTTTATGAACTTATTAAAAATGCTGTTTACATAACCATGTCCTTGCTCAACCTCAAGGACCGGCAAACTGGAAAAACAGCCATTTCTGTCGATACCATATTAAACCAAAAGCAATTGAACTCAAAGGCCACCTTTGAGAGTGAGACCTTCTATTGTGCATATGTAGTGATTGGACAGAAACACTCAACTCTGGCAAAATAAAATCGAGGGTCCAGAGAAGATTTGGCCATTCAATCTTGTGAACTAATATAAAAAATCCTATAAATCAACTTTATGGTATCTTCATGTATCAAGATTGATGAATCAAACCAAGTACAAGAAAGGTTCCTGAGAACACTCCGAGATGCGCTTTCATGATGTACGCAAATAGTGAACAAAATATTATCCTGAATTATCCTGAAAACACTCCGAGACTATTTCATAATTCGAGTTGTGAATTCTTGAATTATCCTGCCTCATATAAAAATCACCTAAGATAAACAGATGTGAAGTAAGAAATTGACTTCAAATTTTTTCTACAGGGGCACAGGAAATACAATGAACTGAATTATCTACTATCTAAATGTGTGATCGTTCTCGAGTACAAATAAATTTTACACAGAACATCAAGACCTGAAATTGCTTATCTGAGCTGGGTTGTTGTTGAGTCGACGAAGTAGAAGAAGAGCCACCTCTGGCTTTATCCTCAGCCCGAGCAAGAAGTCCATTCCTATGCAACAAAATTCTCGGACAATCTCTAATCCTCAATGAATCCAAACAAAGTGGGTGAGACCAAAGAGTAGGAGGAGGTTGTGGTGGCAAGAAACAAAGTGGGCGTGTCTTGAATTGGTGAAAAGGTGAATAAGGAAGGTGGGTTGTAGCTGTATGTGGGAAAACGGTAGACATTGGGTTTTGGGAACTTGAAGATAGTGATACCGAGGGGACAGTGTGCGTAAGAGAGGAGCTCACAGCATATGCTTGCAAAAAGCGTGTTCTTTTTCATTTTCAATTTTCTTTTTTTAAGGCCTAAAAGCGTGTGTAAAATCTATATGGACGCTGGTTATTTTAAACGACGACGTATCAGTCATGCTTTATGTACATCTTTGTTGACATTAAATTTGATAATCGTGAAATGGCAACTTTTTACTCATTAATTTTAACAAAACTTTAAACAATCAACCAAGAAATACTTGGGTCCGTCTTATGTGGTGCAGCCATTCAATGGAGGGTCGTCATATCATCGAATGGTCCAATCTCACCCAATGAGGTGGGGTCACATCAAGACTGAGGTGGAAAGAGAGAGAAACTGAAGTTCCGAGAGACCTCACTTCATTGGATGAGGTTGGATCATCCGATGAGGTAAAAGCTCCTTGTTGAACAGTCACACCACTTGGAATGGTATGACCGTCCTATCCAAACATCTCTCCAATCGAGATATACATTTTTATAACACTTGGAATGTCAAACTTAATGTAAACCAAGTGTGCACAACTAATTCAATTGACAATTTTTTAAGTCTCTATTTGACAACCATTATTTCTAAACTCTTTTTTTACATACTTATTATCAGCCACATATTCATACAATAAAAAATTATTCATGCCAACTCAATTTTTTTCCTACTTTATAACCACATATACTCCAAAAAATCGTTATCCAAAACTCAATTTTATCCAAATAATAGCTACCAAATAGGGGTTAAAAAAAGCATAGAGAGATTAAGAAATGAGTTTTTTTTTTTTTAATCAAAAATAAGTTAATTTTAAGGTTGGCACAGAAAGTTGGGTTAATTTTGTAAATGGTCACTGAACTTTTCATAAAGTTCTAGTAAACTTCAAAATTATCCTTGCTAGTAATTGAACTTTGAAAACTGGTACCCCATCCATCACTACGTAAATGGTGATTGCAAAATTGAAAAGATTTGATGCCGTGTCTACCGGTATGGCTTACTTGGCACGTCGTTGTAAAAAAATACGCCAGATCACAAAGTTGATCCTAAGAGGACAAGTTGCTTTTTGCCTTAAAAATGTTTATAAACACACCAAAAAAAAAGGAAAAAAAAATCTAAAATCTAAGTTTAAATTTTAACCCAAAAACCTAACTCGTCCCCAAAATCCCAAACCCACGAACTTTAATCCCCTTCCTCCCCTTCGCGACCTTGATCAATTGACAATAAAAATCTAATTCCTGCAAATCAAATTTTGAGCAAATCAACCTTAATCTCGTATGTCCATTTCGCAACAATGATCTGAAACCTTACAGATATCCTTAGAATAATCGACATTGTGACTGTCGTATTGAAGGGAACCCCATGGCTAACATTAACCATCAGTCTACAGGTATGTTTTTTTATTGATTGTTCTGTGCATGATTATATCCAAATGGAGAGCTTTTTGAAATCCGACTTTCACAGACTTCCAATGCTGGATCAAGTCCCCCTCTTTGCTTAAAAACGTTTTTCTGGGCAAAAGCAACATGTCCACTTAGGATGAAACTTTGTGATTTGGCCTTTCTTTTTCTTTTTTAATATAATGACGTGCAATATCAGTCATACAGTTAAACACATCATCGAATCCTTCCAATTTTGCAACCGTCACTTACGCAGTGATGGATGGGGTACCAATTTCAAAATTCAGTAACTAATGGGGACAGTTTTGAAATTTAGTGACCTCGTGGGAACTTTGCGAGAAGTTTAGTGACCATTTAGGGAATTAACTCCAAAAAGTTTGATATTATATGATTTTAATTTTCTTTCCCTTAAATGTTGCCTTTAAATTATGCTAAGTCTGTTACTTGCTTTCAATGATGGGATATTATTTTTCCCAAAATATGTTCTTTCCTCGCCAAAGAAGAAAACGCCACTTAAAACTTAATTTCCGTTCTGTAAATTTCCTACTCAAAATTGGAAGAATATTGGGACATCGCATTTAGGGAAAACCACTTGTATGAGACATTTATGGCACGACGGAGTTCACAAACAAGATCTTCGTTATAAACATGAATGAGATCATAACTACATAAAGAGACTTAACATTTTTTAAATAGCCAATATTATATGTCTAAAATCTCAGTCTGATAGGTCTATTCATCTAAAATCAATAAAAACATGCTTTCATTTGTTGAAAGTATAAGGATTTTTGATCCAACGATGGACTTATATGTGTGAATAATTGTGTGTTAAATTAAAGGCTATTAAATTCGGTTAAACCCAATTAAAGTGATCTAATAAAATTTCGATTTTGGGTTTTAATGTATTCAATTAAAATGTGGGTTTACATATGTGTAGAGATCGGGCTCAAGTCCTAATTCTATAATGAGCTGAATTAGGTCAAATAGCGTCGCTATATAAATACGATTATGGTTCTCAAATCACACGTATGTATTATTCATTCTCTTCTGCATCCCATCACAGAAAGAAAAATAAGATTGCATGTAGATTTAGAAAACGATACCGCGTAATTCATTATTGCATTAACCATATCTGATTCAGGTACGCTTCCGCCACATTTATGTATTTCTTAATGATTTAACATGAAAGATCCGGTAATTTAAAGCAATAAATTATCCTACAAGTGGTATCAGAGCCTTTTCATGTTAAATAATTGAGAATCGAATAATTTATTTGGTTCTTGCAATATTTTATGAAGTTTTCAGATTTGACAGTTTTGGATTTAGTTTGGTTGAATTTGAAAACTATTCGGTATAATTTTTTATTATTTTCATAATTCGGATTAATAATTGAGAAAAATTTTAGAATATGGATTTTGGTTTGTGGAAATTCAAATTTTGGTACAGTGTATATATATATATATAAGTTGGCTGCCCTAGGGGGCAGCACCGAGGCGTTGCCATGCCAGCGCCGAGGAGAAGAGGAAAGAGAAAATTTTAAGGTTTAAGTTTTAAGTTGATTTGGGGGCGGGGGCCTCACGTGTAAATTGGATAATTTGAGGCCCCTGCTTGCAATTAGGGCTAGGGTTATAAAATTAAGGTTTCAGTCCTTAACATTTAAGTTATATTCAGATTTGGACCTTTAAGTTTTGGATTTAATAATTCAGTCTCTAAGGTTTAAAAATTAATTAATTCGGTCCATTAAAGTTCTGAATTTATAATTAAAGCCCTCAAGCTTTAATAATTAATTCAAATTGGTCCCCAAAGTTTATAATTAATTCAAATTGACCTCCAAAGTTTCAAATTTTCAAAATTTGATCCTTAAAGTTTTGAATTGGTCAATTTTGGCCCCTAAAGTTTTAAAATCTGTTCTAATTGATCCTCTAAAGTTTTGAATTAATTAATTTTGGTCCCTAAAGTTTTATGTTTATTAATTTCAATCCCTAAAGTTTGGAATTAATTAATTTAGCCCCCGTAAAGTTTTGAATTATTAATCCTAAGCCCCATAAAGTTTAAAACTAAGTCAAATATGCAAAATTGGTTATTCCTTTTCTCAAATTTTGGTACTAAGGACTCTTTTAAGAGATATAATGTTCGAAAGTTAGTTAATTGAAGCAACATGTTGCCAAAGCAACCTCTCTTATAGAAATTAATTAACTTAGAATATTAAAAGGTGTTAGTGCATGTGTTATTTATGAGAATATTGGTCGACTCAAAGGAAAGTCAATATTTAGCCGAAGACACGAGCACCTGTAGTGATAAACGTGTGACGATTATTTGGTTTAATGTGTGATCAATAAATCGGTCCAAAGAAAGATTTATTGATTGATACATTGTTTTATCGTCAATGTTTGATCACTACACCAAGAGTACCGCTTACAAGTCAATATCTTTGTTCAAAGACTAGATATTGATGTTGTGCTTGGTATCTTGTGATGGACCCTACCACTATTTGAGATTATTATTATTTGCATATTAAAGATATTCATGTGAACTATTCATAATAAACATTCTCTAATTCAGTTTCAGGTTCTGCTGTTAATATCTCTACTAGCATCAATTCAATTCCAATGTTAAATGGCACAAATTTCAGGGCGTGGCAAGAGAACGTGATGATTGTTCTTGGAGTCATGGATCTGGACCTTTCTTTACGGGTCGATCAACCTTCTGCACTTACTGATAAGAGTACCTCTGATGACAAGAGGGAGATGGAAAAGTGAGAACGATCGAACCGCATAAACTTAATGGTCATAAAGCGTGCTATTCTAGAAGCATTCCGGGGCACTATATTCGATAAGGTGACTACGGCTAATGGTCTTGAGGATCTTGAGAAGAGATTTGCCAAGAATGAAAAGGTTGAAACAAGTATACTTTTGGCAAACCTTGTCTCAATGAGGTATAAAGAGAAAGGAAACATTCGAGAGTACATTATGGAAATGTCTCATATTGCTTCAAAACTAAAGGCACTCAAGTTAGATTTATCTGAAAACTTGTTGGTGCACTTGGTTTCGATATTCCTTACGGTATATTTCAGTCAATTCAAGGTGAGCTACAACTGTCATAAGGACTCATGCTCCCTTAATGAGCTCATCTCACACTATGTCCAAGAAGAGGAAAGACTGAAGCATGAGAAGATAGAAAGTGCTCATTTGGCCACCACCTCTAAGGACAAAAGAAACTAAAAAATGAAGATTAATAAGGAAGCTGCAACTACAGCACCGTAAAAAAAACAGCATAAGTAACCAACTGAAGGTAGTTGTTTCTTCTGTGGAGCTGCAGGTCATAAGAAGAATAATTTCACCAATTACCACGCATGGCGTGTAAAGAAATGTATTCTTCTTCATTTGGCTTGTTCTGAGGTTAATTTAACTTCGGTACCTAGACATACATGGTGGATAGATTCTAGTGCAACAACTCACCTCAGTATGTCTATGTAGGGTTGCATGAGTTGCCGAAAACCAAGTGATGGTAAAAGATACATCTATGTTGACGACGGTAAAAGGGTGGAAGTAGAGGCAATAGGAAAATTCAGATTATTGTTAAAGACTGAATTTTATTAGGATCTTGTTGAGACATTTGTTGTACCG